TGCATCATGGCTGAGAAGAACCAATGGAAATCTGAGAGCCTGCACACAGCCTGAGATGGATGAGGGCACCATGGAACACCAAAGATGTGCAAAAACCTTAATGTGCTCTGCTTACGTTATCTAAGCTAAAACACTGACCAGGAATCACAGAACATCTGCCTGGCTTTGGCAACTCCTAGAAACTGTGCTAATTAATGAGATAAACAAGATAAAGCATGCTTAATTTTAGTGTCTGTGTAAATTGCAAGACTTAGATCCTCTTTTATGTAACACCTTTGCAGAACTCTGTAGTGTAAAGGAGATTGGAAGACAATTTCTATCTCCAGAATAGATATCTCCTAGAACAGTGTGAATCCTATATTGAATTATTCTAAACAGATCATTTGCCCCTTCCCTATCACTGCAATCCCTCAGTGCAGCACACTCTCTGGGAGATAGCATTGCTACACATCAGAACTACTGAGGAGAAGCAGAGCTGTTCAGTCTACTACTACCTAACACACCAGACCTTTCTTTGTGGAGACTATGGGCATTTTACTCCAACGTGGAGTACTGAATCTTCAGCCCCAACCTAATAATTAGGTGTACCTATTTGAGGAAGATGCATAACAGAGAAGACTATGGTCCTCCTCAGGACTATAGTAGTCTGTCATCCCACAGCAGTTCCAACTTGCAAAGACATTACTTATCTTAAATGTAAAACATGAAATTCTCAGTGGAATGTATTACAGAAGTCTAAATGTTATGATCATATCTAATATTCTCTCTATTTTAAGTATCTCTATTTAGCATGTCAGCTTAAACTCTATTCATAGGATATGTCTCTGGCATTGCTAATTTCGAGTCTCTCTCTACCATATAATGAATGCTTTCAATTATATTTCCACTTGCTTGCATTTTTCCAGTTGGCATCACATCTTGTTTCACACCCTTACTTCTAACTTCTTTTTTCTTGCTATGGTACCATGGTAATTCTGAGATTAAAAACAAAGATAAGACATTCTCATTCTCCCTCTCATATCTGAAGCACTTTGCACTGTAGCATACATGCATTTAATGAAATACTGTATTGCTTTTCCTTGTTCTGTACAACCAGTAAAATCGCTATTAAGTAAGACATGATCTAATGATTCAATAATACACTGACCACTTTCTCAGAACTCACTGTTCTGGATTATTTTAATTACATTTAATAGAAGTTTTAAAATATGATACCTAATCTCTAATTCTGACTTGGAACTAAATAATGCTACATTTGTTATTATGAATTCTTACTATAAGTACAATTATTATGCATTTAAATATACTTCATTTCTTTTCCATAGAAAATGGGCATACCAAGATAAAAACGAGTATGTTTGGGAACCAATTACCCACTCTAGCACAGAGTCAACATTATATAATTCCAAAGACTAATATAATACCCCTATTAAGAAAATTATTTGACCATATGTTTAAACTGCTTGCTGACTCTCAGACACATTTAACACTTGTTTCTGTTTCATCATAATGACTTATATACCATATCTTCCTACAACAAATGCCATACAGAGTGGAAAATAGTACTACAGCTTATCAAATAAATTCTTTCAAACTTCCAGATGTAATTTTGGATCATATTTCAATGTCCTTGGAATATTACAGCATTAAGCATATGCCATATGCAGATTTAGATTGTAGAAAAGTAAAAAATACCAGACATTTCAAAGCATTTCACTCTCCAAACAGTGCTATGAACACTGTGCCACAGAGGAAACACACCCAGTAGAGCTGAATGTCATACCTACAATTTGTAAAACATTTTTCCTGCGTTTGTGAGTATAGAATCATAGACTCATAGAATGGCCTGGGTTGTAAGATACCTTAAAGATCACTTAGTTCCAGTTCCTCACCTTAGTAAACACAGTAGCTTTAAGGACCTCCTATAATTGTTGTCAAAAATTATCAGAAACTTAAACAGAGACCATATATAACATATTTAATTAGGTACTCTTGCTCTTGTGTATATACTGCTACCCTGGTGAAATCTAACCACTTTTGAAATACAGAAGACAAAGAGGGTTATTACTTGGCTTAGAGAGGGGATAACACTAATGACAGCTTTATAGCTTTGCATATGCTTATAAAAGTTGAATAAAAATTTGTACTTCCCTACCAAAAAAGTATCTCCCTTCATTGACACGGCTCTTCTCTGTGACTGAGGTGTATTTGTTACACCCACATGATTTGGCTCAATGGATTTTTATGATCACTCTACATTGTAACTAGTTCTTTCAAAGACTAAGCCACAGTCTTACATAAAATGGGAATTTTAAATTAATCTCTCATATGGCTACAATGGGTAATCAAAATCATACACTTCCAGGGAGATGGATGATGAAGAGAGATTTGTACTGGCCTGATCCTATAAGCACTGGTATCTGTAAGCCGCCCTTATGAAACCACCAAGCATATTGCCCATATGGAAATCTGGATGTTTATGACATGGAGCCAAATTATGTGCTATACCTGGCACTTTGTGGATGTTTTGAGGAGAGGAGTAGAGAGAGAAGAGTTACTGAACAGAAAGGAATGTTTGTCTTTCATTGTCTTCTCAGCACTGATTCTGAGTTTTATATATATAAGAAAAGTGCATTGCCATAGGCAGTGATAGATGTAAAGATGATTATCATTATCTATGCTATACCTATTATCATTATCTAAGCTTCTAGGAGAAGCATAAGCTATCCTATTAAAAAATTATAACTGGAGGCAAATATTTTATAAGAATTGTTTTAATGACCAGGAAGTTAGAAAAAAAAAATCCTGATTGGTAGCTTCAGAAGAGTTTGTTGCATCTATGAGTGTAGTACTAATTGTTGAGAGAGGTAGGATTCATAAGGTATATCAGTGGCCATGCACAGGAAAATACAATCAGAAATGCTTCCATACTGGACTGGAAATGCGGAAAACCAAGATTGTGAAGAAATCTCACAGACACAGCACTTAACTACATAAAAGAAATAAATTCAAAAACTCTGTTTAAGGCAAGTGGTAATACTTCTTAATCAAAGTTTGGCTTTAGGACGCAGCATTCTCCCTCAACCCTTTCTCTTATTGGTCATTTTTGTCAAGTAGCTATATTAATCAAGTGCCAGTCCAGATCTATCCCTCTGTGGAAGACAAAGACTTAACATAATGTGACAGATACAAATCAGAATAAAAGGAAGAAATATGTAAGAAAAGACAGAACAAGGCAGCCCACAGTTAATTTTCTTTTTTGCATTTAGAATATGAGGGCAGTGGTTACATTTTGAGAGGCAAATTAGAGAAAAATCAGATAGAAGAAATGTTCTAACTCTCTTCCCTAGAGCAGTTCAATGTTGATCAGTACCTTTGGTTCCCACATTCAGCAGTGCATGGCTGTTTCCAGAGCAGGGCTGTAGCCCAATCATACGATGGCCTGCAGCCTGGCAATGAACTCAGGAGCTCTGAATACAAGCCCCTCGAGGCTGAGAAGATATCAGAACTTAGAAATTGCATCCCCTGCCACTAGATTCTTCTGCAGTGGAGGGTAAGAAGAGACTTGGCTTCCTAATGGCAACTCTGCTCCACTAGAAGTTGTTTCCCAAAAAATGGCATAACTGATGGATAAAAAACAGATGATGGCATCTTCCACTTCCTATTGGTCCCTATGTATTCACAGTGTTATATACTGGGTTGGGAAAAGTGAACAGGATCATCAAGTCTTTGAGGCACCTGTTTCTACTAGCTCTATAGAGAATTAGTGCTTTACTGTAGAAAGACTGGATATTCTTTCCTTCTCCTTTCTGTTGCTGCTAATATTTGAGTGTCTAAAATACAGCTGAGTCCATGCCCAGCTAAGGAATGTAGGATTTTCCACAGACAATCCTGTATGTTCACCTATACTGTATCTTCTAGTCTATCTTGGCATGTGCTCAAGAATCTCCAGTGTTTTGAAATGGTATAACTGAACAAGTTACATGGTATTTCATTTTTTTAATGGAGGGTTTCAGCTGACATATTGGCATGTCTCTGCATCAACTAGCTTTATGCATCCAACTTTCATGCTTTGAATTATCCTGTCTCCAGTCATGACACCTGAAATTCAGACTCCTAAAAAAAAAAGTGCAGTGAACTGAAACTTTCTAGGGACTTGAAGAAGGATCAAAACTGTAGTGAAGATAACTCCTAAGTAAGTCTAATATTCTCAGGCAACAGGTCTAAGCACAGTCTTCAAATTTTTTGAGGAGAAAATATTGAATTAAATGCTCTTTGTACTGCTTCTGGAGGGAATATCCTTGCAGTGAAGTTCTTTCCCTTTTCCTTTCTTTGAAATGGCCTCTGTAAGCCTGGCTGCATATTACAATGAGCAATTAAGACATTTTAAGTTTTTAAGTGGACATAATTTAATTCGGTTTCAGAGCTGCTCATTCGGATTTAACTAGACTATATTCTGTATGGATCTAAGCTTGTGTGAGTTTATAGTGTAGCCTGGAAGTAGTAGCAGAAGTCTTTGGAGATTCAGGCAAAAAGATTGACTAAAAAGATCTAGACAAACAGCAGTCATGAAGTGTAAAATAATATGGAATATACAAAGACAAAGACAACATAGTAGTTTTATAGGTACTCCAAGTTGTCATGTTATGAACACAGCCTTTAGTAAATAGTCTTCATATGTATGATTTCAAAACAAGAAAGTACATCTACCCTTTCACTCTGAGGTCAAATACCAATGTACCTGAAGTTTTCAGTACTAATACTAATGCTAACACTAACACTAACACTAACACTAATACTAATACTAACACTAACAACATCATCAACAACAAACAATTGTGCATGTTTCAGGATTTGGTCTCAGATAATTCCCCAGGAAAGAAGAAAGAGAATCAGTGATTAAATGGACTATGATATCCAACTACTGAAATTTTCTGTTTGCATTTCTCACACAGCTTTCTGGAAGACTACCTTCAAGTAGAATATATGGAATTACTTACTGTGCAAAGTGTCTCAAATGTCTTTTCGGAGACAAAGGATCCATCAAGACCAAAAAGAAAAATAGATGCATAAGAAAGCATCCCTCCAAGGATAATAAGGTTGTTCATGTAGGGACTGGACATCTTTATTAGTCTATGGACAAAAGGTGATAGTGCATTAAGAGGAAAAGATTACTGCTAGGCTATTAGAGCAATAAAGAAGAGCTTTTTGTAACCAGGCAAACAGATAAACCTTCTTCTAGAACTCCATGAAATCTATTGGCATGCACAGTATTTCTGTTTTATAAAGTCTAGCATTGTCTAGAATTGTTTTAGTTTTTTTAATGTTTAGTAAGAAGACCTCCTCTTTTACTGATGAATTAATTAGCAAGGGTTAATGTTATTAGAAGACAGCCAACATAAATTAAAAAATTACACTTTTCAGACAGTATAAAAGAACTTGTCTGTTTCATATATTACACAGTAATTTCAATTAAATAGTTCTAAATTATCATCTTTCCACAGTTTTAAATTTTCTTTACATATATACATGTAGATAGATATACATACGTGATGGGTTCTGCAAACATTGCATTTAAACATGAAAGAATTAGTGATAGAAGTAATATGAATGTCTTACTTCTGATTTCTGTTTTTGATGTTAAAGAACAAGAAAGCACTGGCCATTATCATTCCTAGGATGGTGAGGGCAGAGAGGATGCTGTAGAGAGGCAGGGAGATTTTGCGCAGCTCTTCTTGTATAATTGTTTTGTCCTTTGGAGGCTCAAGTCCTAGAATTATGTGAAGAAATAAAAGGCTAAAGCTCAACCAGTTGCAGAATTTCTGAAAAAAACTTTGCCTTATATATGATTTAGTACATTTAGCAACTTTGAACTACACCAGTAGTTGATAAAAACATTTGTGTGCACATATAAATTTGAATTTGCCCTGTCATTGAAATAAAAACCGAGTATACAATTTCCAAACATTGTGATTTTCTGTTCAGAATTCTGTTCACGAAACTCTGTTTCCTTTCTCTTTCTTCAGTGTCATGGCTTTTTGATTAAAAATAGTAAAACAATTCTTTAAGAGTATGCATTCTTACAAAACACATACATCTATTAATGTCACTCCTATACCTCTTTCCAGTCTTCTCTCCTACCTTGGAATCTGATGACACTGTTGTTTATTTCCAGTGTGTCAGCTACAGCATTGTATTCTCCCACCTTTACTTCCTTTCGCTCTGCAGAGAAACAAACAAGAGTGATTTTTTATGGCAGTTCACATGTTCTCAATTATTCAACTGATTTTTTCTTCTTTTTTGACAGTATGTCAAAAGAAAACGAAATATGAAAGAATAAGACATGAATTATTAAATCAGAATGCCAGACAGCTAACATCATTAAAAGGAATATTTCTGATTCTTGAAAGAAATGCAAAGTATTTTTAAGACCTCATTTACATAATCAGGAAACTGTTATTGGGCACAGACATCTCCAGCTTAAAGATCACACAATTTCTTACTGGTTCACACTATGCAGGACATTTTTGCTGAGAGAACAGGCATGGCTAAATCACACATTCCCCTCCCATTTTAACAACTAGGTCATCTTGCTTAGTCAAGTATTTCCCAGAAGATTCATAGCAGCAGTCTCCAGCCAGTGTGGAGTAGACTAGCTAGTTATCAGTCTGGGAATCATATCTCTTACTCTGACTGGGAATTAGCAACTCATTAGTACCCTGACTGCAAAACTTACTATATTATATAATTAAAGTAAACATGCACTTGAGATAAAATTTTACAGTTAGTCTCATCTGCTATTTTGGGACTATCATCACATACATGGCTTTCTTGCACCTGATATCTTGGAGTTTTGATGTTTTGGATTTTTTTTTTAAATACTATCTCAGAATAGATTACTATGGCTGAGACGAAAGCCTTCTGCCAACAAAGAACTGAGCTAATCTTAAAGGAATATTAGAATTTTTTTCTTCTACATATTTTATTACAGAATTTTATAGCCCACTTTAAGTAACTCCAGACAAATTGACACACTACCACTAAATAATTGGCTCATGTTTCACAAAGTTAATACAGAAGATTTTCAATGGCATATCAGGTAGTTACACGTTCTTGTTGGATAAAACAAAAAGAATCATCCTACAACAGATATTAGTTAAGTAAAACAAACTTACCAAAATGCACAGCAGTATTATTATTGCCAGAATGACTGAATTCACTTACACTGAGAATTTCCAGATAAGACAATGATTAGGTTCAGTTCCTTTCACTATATGTCATAATTTCCATTTCCACCACATTTTTGAACTGTATTTAATGTACACCTCATAAAGACAGTTTCTACTAAGAGATGTTTAAGGATGAGGGAAAGCACTTGCGATGCATAAGAGATAGGTCTTAGTTTGTTTTGAAAAAACATCCCTGCATAAGGTGTTGCCTGCATGACTCCCTCTCCTTGAAGAGCTTATAAAAAATCTTTATAGCTCCTCCTACTTCTCCACTTCCTTAAAACCTTCCTCTGACAGCAGTCTTATCCCACTCTTTGTCAACTGCCCCTTTTGCTTAACCATCCTAATTCAGTGGGAGTGATTAGATGCTTAGCATATTAGAAAATCTTGCTACGTACTCAGCTCTTAGCAGCTTATCTCAGGAACCAATATTATTAAACCTTCTCCTACAACAGAATAATTTAGTTCCCTGCACATTGTTCCTCATCCATGCATTGCAGCTCAACAAGACTGCTGGCAGCTATGGGGAAAATTTATCTGCCATGTCTCAGAAGAGTTTTGGAAAATGCCTAAGTAGTCGCCAATAGGTAAAACTAAGCATGGTCCATACACACATGAAATGTTTAAAAATCCTTAGGAAGAGAATGACTCTGAAATTTGGAAAAATTTTAATCTCAAGTTTCAAATCAATCTCCTAGACCAGAACCAGAAATCATGGCACTGCACAACTAATCACACTTCCAAAGACACATGTAACCTATGTGAAATCCCGCCATTGACAAGCTGTTGGCAACTCATTGATAGGCTCAGTCCAGAGACACGATGAATGGTGCTCAGAAGCATTACACTACGGTGCCCAGAGGCTTCCCTTTCCCCAGTTTAACTTCTGCTCACATTCCCTTTTAAGAAGTGAATGCTTTTCTGTAACACTTTACGCTGTCAGTCTCATGTAGCAATCATTTGTCACTGTGGGGTCTTAGGTGTTCTTTCTCATTGCCACTACTGCCTTCTGTGAAGGCTCCTGAGGAGCTCATGTGCTGCACTGAGCGCCAGCAATCCTGTGACCGAGAGTGTTCAGAGAGCAAGACACAGGAAAGACGATGGTCCAAACACAAGCAGTGAAAATCCTAAGCTGGAGACTGCAAACTGACGCCAAGTCTGAGAACACTTCCCGCATTTCAGTAAATCCTGCGCAAACTGCCTGCTCTAACCTGCCCTACCTGTCTCACTCATTTTGAAAGCTGTTTCACAAAATAATGATCCGTCACAAAAGCTGGAAATGCTGTTTCAAATGCCTTTGCTATGCTAAATGAAACTAAGCATGATGGAATCTAATTTTCTTCAGAATAAATACAGAAACATTTCATGTTGTGGTCCATGTAGAAAGTCTTAGCAAATTAATGTAACCTTAACTTTCATAATATATCCTTGTCAGACAGCACTGAGAAGCTTTTCAGTTATCTTTCTCACATATCAGCAGTAACCAACACAAGCTGAAAGTTTCCAATTAAAAAAAAATAAATCACAATAGAAGCTTATAAATAATGAATGAGCAAAGCCTTTTCCATGAATTTCATCCATTTGCAGGCAACCATTTCTCTTTGTTTAAAGACAAAAATGCTGAGATTAAGAATTACAGTTCAAATAAGGAAGAAAATGTCAGGTCAGATAAAAGATTATTCTTCAGCAGAAGCTGCCAGAAAAGAGAGAATCAAGGAAGAAAAATATGTTACCTTTGCAAGGATTTGAATTACCACAGTTTTTATGTTTGTAATTGGAGTTTAAAATCTGTTTTGCCCTAAGAAATATTACCTTCATCTTTAACTCCTTCGTAACTATTTCCTTTATTTGAAATTATTGTCTAGTGTTTTATTTATGAAATCCCATATTCCACGGTTTTGGAAACATACATACAGAGCACACAGGAAATCCTAAGTTATGCAAGTAGTATATATAGCAAGTGATAATTACTCCTCATAGCCAGTTCTCTGGCTATGAATCTTTCATTCATTCATAAAGCAAAACAGACAGAAAGGTCAAACCTGACAAAGGCCAAACAGGGTATCCTTAGAGTCAGGATAAAAGTTAAGTAGTCTTAATGGCCAGTCTCTTCGCGAACGAAGAACCGGGGAAGGTCTTTCCACCTTCCAGCCTGCGCATTGGATTTTTTTAGGTGAGACACAGTGTGCGCGGAACTGAGCCCACCCTTTAATCCTGAGGTTCATCTGCCGGGGCCAAGCACGCTTGGACAGTGGCAGCGAGGTCCTCAGGATGTAGATGGATTGCCTTATGGGCTAACGAGCTCCATCTTAACCCTGAGCTTATTTCACTACGTTAGTAATGGTATTTAGCCAACCAGATACAGCAAGCAAGTAGGCAAGTTGCAAATAAAATATCATTAAGTAACCTAAGCTCATAAAAAACCTAGTAATTTTGTAGCCTGAGTAGATTCTTCTATAAAAATTTCAAAAATCTGCATTTTTAAGAACATATAAAAATTATTTTTACAGATTCTTTTTAAGCTTTGTTTCCACTTTCTTGATTATGCATCTGTCTCCTACTTTGTTTGTGAGACTTATGTATAGATTTGCATAGAAACTTAGTAACATAGTTCAGGTAGATTTATTACCTAAATATCTTAGGTATTTATTACCTAAATATCTTAGGTATTTATATATTAGGCATCAAAGAGCTACATAATGAAATCAAATATAAAGGCTTTGAGTTTAAAACAATTATTTCTTAAAATGAGAATTGTTAACACCATCATTATAGTTTTCATTCAAGAAACTGAGAAATCCCTGAGATTAGCTCAGTTGGTTAAAACTCGGTGCTGATAACACCTAGGTCATGAGTTCTATTCCCTGTATGGGCCATTCCCTTGAGACTTGGACTCAGTGATCCTTGTGGCTCCCTTCCAACTTGGAATATTCTGTGATTCTGTATAAACAAATACACAGTAATGAAGGCAGGGGCTCAGTTCCGCGCACACTGTGTCTCACCTAAAAAATCCAATGTGCAGGCTGGAAGGTGTAAAGACCTTCCCTGAATCTTTGTTCGCGAAGACTGGCCAACAATGAAGGCAGATCATCCATGAAGCATAATGACGGTTGCGATGAAGTAAGTGTACAGAGCAAACGCTAATTCTTCCAAATAGAAGTTCCTGTTTCTTAGGATGCTTAACAAAATCCTTGATAGTTTTAAATGAGGTTGTATATGAGGTCAGACTTTTTTTTAATTTTAACATAAATTATTGACTGATATCAAATTGTATAACCACTGAAACATATGTCAGTACTTTGGATGAACTCTAACTCCATTAAAAAAGTTAACAGACAAAAATTTATATACAAATGGGTACGGTATGATTGTATTTTAGGATACATGCATGTGCAATAACTGCAACATCTCAGTCCAGATAAGGTTTCTCCTATTCCATTGCTCATTGTCTTTTATGATTTAACTTTTCAGAGAGTTTATCTGCCAAAGTAAATTATTCTTTGAAGTCATATAGTGTAATTATACATGTGTTTTTTAATATTTATCTAAATGTAGCATGCTCTACTAATAAAAATTTATATTTATTTTGACTTATCACTTGGAATCACCTCTTCCTAGCAGAGGCCAAACCCAGTGTGCTTTTCTCGACTCAGAATTTAGAGTGGAGAATAACACTGTACATGTAAAACTACAGGCAGCCATCCTGAGAAGACGTTTTCTCAATTATGAAATAATAATTTCATTCCTTGTATGCCTTTAAGTACCTCATGCGTTCTACTCGCTTACACTAGTCCATTTTCTGCAGTGGGTGTGCTAGGGAATCAGCCTGTGCAGACACACAGGCTTGGGCTGACTTCCCGGGAGAACTCCCAAGAGCTTCCTGGGTTGGAAAGGCCATCCAGGCAGTGACAGGTTTGGATGTGGATGCCACTGATCTGCAGAGAAGCCCTCCTGGCAGCATCCCAGGGCCCAGCAGCAGCTCCATCTGTCAGA